GTCAGGCAGAAGTTACAGAAGCTTGGACACATGCAACAACAGGTTCAAGAACAGCTTCTTCCCTGCTGTTATTAGACTGATGAATGGACTCACTAACTTCAAGTAACGTTGATCTTGCTAATGCTGACTCTTGCTTTATGCACTTCCTGTCCAGTTATATCCTGTACGCCTCAATCTGGCTAAGCACCCTATGATCTGTCTGTACTGCTTGCAAAACAAAGCTTTTCACTATACTTAGGTACATGTGACTACAATAAATCCAATCAAATCAAATATGAATTACTTGATGAGGAAGACTGACAACTCACTTTCTACTGTCTTTGTAATACTTGCAATATCAGAATCATTTGGTGACGTTAATGATCAATATTTGTCAAAGAGTTTACAACCAACCCAGACATGAGTCAACATTTGGGGACTATAGGTCCAAAGCTATCTGTTCCTCCACAGATGCTGCATTTATCACTTTTTATTTTATCTTGACCTATCTATTTACTAATACTCATGGATCTGCTATGTATTTTCCGCATTTTCTCTTCCTATTTTGAAATTATGAAAGGGTTTGATCAAGCAGACACAGAGAATTTATTTCTACCTGATCCCTGGAATAAAGTGATAACATAGGAAGAAAAATTGGATAGGTTGGGCCTGTATCCATTGGAGTTCAGAAAAATGAAGGGTCATCTTATTGAAACATATAACCTCCTAAGGGAATTGACAGGCTTGATGCTGGCTGGTTGTTTCCACTGAAGGGAGAAGCTAGAACTTGGGGACACCATTTAAAAATATTTACATTTAAAATACTTAAGACAGAGATGAGAATATTTCTTTCTTCTCTCAAAAGGTGATCAGTCTGTGAAATTTACTCCCCTAAAGAGCAGTGGAGGTTGAGTCATGGAATATTTTTAAGGATGAGATAGATAGATTCTTGATTGATAAGACCACTAAAGGGTTTAAGTGATAATCAGGAAAATGGAGTTGAGGCCACAATTAAATCAACTATGATTTTATCAAATGGCAGAACAGGTTTAGGAGACCCGAATGACCTACTCTTGCCCCTAATTTGTTTAAAAACTAAGCTTCCAGTTGTTTGCCAGACCCTGACCTTCCAGTCGCTTGCTACATCAACACACTGCCTTGTTCCCTGGCCAACATCCCGGGCTTGCTACAGTGGTCCAGCAAAGCTCAGTGCAAACTGGAAGAACAGCACCTCATTTTCCGCTTGAGCACTCTACAGCCTTCTGGACTCAATATTGAGTTCAACAATTTTCGGGCTTGAGCTCTTCCAAGTCCTTACCCCAACCCCCAACACACCAGGCCTTGTTACCACATGGTCTACTATTACACACAACCCATTGTTAGCCACTAATGGTCGCTATTAACAGCTATTCACCTTCCTAACCTGATCGTTATCCATCCCTTTATCTGTCCAACTGGTGCTCTTCTGTCTTTAGACTCTGTCCCCTCCAATCATTTACTGCTTGCCCCCTCCCCCATCCTATCTTCTGCAAAAATTGTATTTACCTGTCTGCCATCAGTTCTGAGGAAGGGTCATTGGACCTGAAATGTTAACTCTGATTTCTCTCCACAGATGCTGCCGGACCTGCTGAGCCTTCCCAGCAATTTCTGCTTTTGTTCCGAATTTGTATGTTTATTTGCTTCATTAAGTAGCTAACACCTGCTCCAGAATTTCGTATTGCATGGTGGATTTCTTAGGCCATATAGCAGATGGCGGTCCTCCAACTCATAATGAGCCTGCTCTTCCTTCCTGCTACTTTGAAGATTTGAAGTTGTTCAGTACCTGCAAAATAAATGCTGTGCGGCTGCGTTTTTAGGTCAACATATCAAATTTTGTCATATTTAACCCCACATGTATAAATCTCTCCCAGTGTGAACACAGGATCTGCTGTCCCAACTGCTACAAGCATTTGGCCCATATTGGCAAAATTAAAACAAAAGTCCTGATAGAGTTCACAATCTGTGCGGGTATATAGATATACAGGTTTATTGAAAAATATGATCTAGGTGTTGAGGATGTAAAAGTAAAGCATTTTGGTTTTGCTTTGGCTTGGTAGCACTCCCTACAATAAGAAATAAAGACCGTAGCTATTCCAATAGACTCCCCCCATATATTCAAGGGGGCTTTGGAAGAATAGCTACAAACTCAGCAAGAAGCTGGCTATTCTGGGTCCCAATGTTCAGACAGAGTTTCTTGTAACGATCTTGCAGGAATGGAGACTCTACCTATCTTTACAGGGACATCATATGTTGAGTTGTTCAAAAGTTTCAAATGCCCTTCTTTTTAACAGCGCTGTGTTAACACAAGCGTAACTGACCTCATGAGGTGTGCTTCATTGAAAATGATGGTAATGGCTCACACCTTTGGGTGCAGGATGGGAGCACTGGCATCTGGATCTCAGGAGATTAAGGAAAAATTGATTGTATTTAATGAGACAGCATTTGTAAAGCACTATTAAAGAAGCCAGATTGTTCGTTTTCGGGGAGGGGTGCGGGGGAATAGTCAGCTTCCGTCTCACAAACCTGTCAGTTGCAAATCTATGGACGCATCTTAATGGAATGCATCAACTCAAGAATGCAGCCCACCATTGCTTTTGGAGAAGCAATGGTCAATCAATTTTGGGGCACTGCTAGTGACAACCATAGTCCATGTATTGATTTCTTTAACGGGAAAACAACTTACAGAAAAGTTAAACAAAAAAAAACCCAAAGAATATAAAATGCTGAAAATTTGAAATAAAACCACAAAAATTGCTGGAAAAATTCAGCAGGCCTGGCAGAATCTGTGGAGTGAAAGCAGTGTTAATGTTTCAGGTCCAGTGACCCAAATCTGATTGTAACACGAGTAAGGTTGATTTATATTCCAAAACTTGCAGTGGGGGTGTTTGGAGGAGCAGTAAGCAATAGGTGGAGATGGTGGCATGGTGGATCAGTGGTTAGCACTGCTGCCTCAGAGCGTCAGGGACCTGGGTTCAATTCCACCCTCAAGCGACTGTTTGTGTGAAATTTGCACATTCTCCCCGTGTCTGTGTAGGTTTTCCTCTGGGTGCTCTGGTTTCCTCCCACAATCCAAAGATGTGCAGGTTAGGTAGATTGGCATGCTAAATTTCCTACAGTGTCCAGGGATGTGCAGGCTAGGTGGATTAGCCATGGGGGGATGCGAGGTTATAGGGTAGAGGGGTGGGTCTGGGTGGGATGCACTTTGGAGGTGTGGTATGGACTTGATGGGCCAAATAACCTGCTTCCACCTTGTTGGGATTCTATGATTCTATAGAGCTCAGAGAGCGAGACAGACGGAGACAAAGGAATGGGTAAGGATCAGCCTGGGAGAATGAATAGCTGCTAATGGGGACCATTACATAAGAACTAGGAGCAGGAGTAGGCCGTCCGGCCCTTCGAGCCTGCTCCGCCATTCAATAAGATCATGGCTGATCTTTTCGTGGACTCAGATCCACTTACCCGCGTTCTCACCATATCCCTTAATTCCTTTATTGTTCAAAAAAAATCTACCTTATCTTTAAAAACATTTACTGGAGTAGCGTCAACTACTTTACTGGGCAAGGAATTCCATAGATTAACAACCCTCTGGGTGAAGAAGTTCCTTCTCAATTCAGTCCTAAATCTGCTCCCTCTAATCTTGAGGCTATGCCCTCTTGTCCTAGCTTCACCTGCCAGTGGAAACATCCTCTCTATTTCTATCTTATCTGTTCCCTTCATAATTTTATATGTTTCTATAAGATCCCCCCTCAATCTTCTGAATTCCAATGAATATAATCCCAATCTACTCAGTCTCTCCTCATAAGCCAACCCCCTCAACTCCGGAACCAACCTAGTGAACCTCCTTTGCATCCCCTCCAGTGCCAGTACATCCTTTCTCAAGTAAGGAGACCAAAACTGCACACAGTACTCCGGGTGTGGCCTCACCAGCACCTTGTACAGCTGCAACATAACCTCTCTGCTTTTAATTTCAATCCCTTTAGCAATAAAGGACAAAATTCCATTTGCCTTCCTAATTACTTGTTGTACCTGCAGACCTACCTTCTGTGATTCATGCACAAGGACACCCAGGTCCCTCTGCATACCAGCATGCTGCAACTTTTTACCATTCAAGTAATAATCCTTTTTACTATTACTCCTACCAAAATGTATGACTTCACATTTATTTACATTGTATTCCATCTGCCAGACCTTTGCCCACTCACTCAATGTACCTATGTTCCTCTGCAAAGTTTCACAGTCCTCTGCACACTTTGCTCTGCCACTCATCTTAGTGTCATCTGCAAACTTTGACACCCTACACGTGGTCCCCAACTCCAAATCATCTGTATACATTGTAAATAATTGCGGTCCCAACACTGATCCCTGAGGCACACCACTATTCACTGACTGCCAGCTAGAATAGCACTCATTTATCCCCACTCTTTGCTTAGAAGCTGACAATGGTTTGGTTGTGGTAGCAGCCCACGTGATGACAGGCCTGGTGTGTGGGTGTTGGGGTAGGGACATGAGAGAAGGTGCTCAGGCCTTCATAAAGTTTTTTTATCCTGGACACCTTTATTAAATTATTACATCAACGAGTGTCAAATAAGTGTTATATTACAAAATGTAACTCACAGTCTACCAACAAGAAAATCTGCTGTCCAAATTTGATAACATAATAAAAGTAGCAATACAGCAAAAACATGTTTGCAATATCCATTTATTTATAAGGAGGTTTCATTTTGCTGAGGTTTCATTACTAATATACATCAATAGTAGAAACGCAGTTTAACTCCATAATTTTAAACACATTTTCTCACATAATGTACACATTAATACATCTTTCTGCTGCATCCTGCTGATACACATTTGTTCAATACTACAAACCTAATTTATATATGTTTAGTCAATCATTATTTAACTTTAGAAGCAAAACAAAATAATTAATGAAACTCAGTTCGATTATTTCTCACCACAATACAGAATGATTGTTGGCTTAGACTTCAAATTCTTTTAAATTTGTTCTTCTTTCCACCATTGATCCATATACTTACTTCATGATAGCATAAGGCTATCCTGTTCTGGGTTAATTTAAAAGCCATTGACATGATTGCCATACCAGTAATAATTAAAATAGACATTATCATGAAAAAATTTGGATGTTCAGGAACAAAGTCCCCAAAGCCAATAGTGGTAATTGTAATAAAATAGAAATAAAAGGAATCGAGATATTTCCATTTTTCCCAAATTGAAAGTATACCTGCACCAAAAAGAATGTAGGCAATAATAACACCTATGATAATCATGATCGGCACATCAAATTTTTCGAGTTCTTGTCCCAGACATGGAAAAAAACTGTCACCTTCAACTGGCTTTAGATCCAGCTGGGGACATGACTTACTTCGACTTCTCTTGCAAAGCTCGAAAGTCTTCTGATTAAAATTTTCTTGAACAATTAATTTTTCGAATATTTCAGTTTTTCTCAACAGCTCAGATTTCTTTTTGACCGAAGACTGTGTGTTCAACACACTTTTTATGCTCATAGGTGTGATGATCACATGTGAGCCCCCTTTCAAAGAGATGGACCTCATTGCAGATTTTGCTTCTGATTTTGAGAAGCTCTGTTTGAATGAAGACAACGTTGAGGGGGTTGCTGATGGTGGCGGAGAAATATTCTTTTTTAGCCGCTTTCTTACATGGTTGTAAACTTTGGAAAGTAAAGCTGCCAACTTGTCTCCAACATCGGTGATGACTAACAGCATAATGGGGATTCCAAATGTTGCATAGAACATGCAGGCAATTTTTCCTCCTACTGTTAAAGGAGAGATATGACCATAACCTAAAATTGAAAAGGAATATGTTATTCATCATGACGGTAGAAATTGCTATTGGCAGTTTCTCAGACTACCATATCTATACATGTACTGTTTTCTTTTACGTGTCTTCTGGAATCTGATGTTCTGTTATCCTGTTAAATATAAATGATAAAGCAATATATTTGGATGTTGAATTGCTATAGCCAATGCCAATGAGCTTGTGAAAAAGTTGATGTGACAGACTAAGGATGTGGATGTAGGAAATTTAGACTGAAATGAAGAGAATTTTATTCACCCAGGAAGTGGTGAGCCTATGGAATTCTCTGCCACAGAAAGCAGTTGAGGCCAAAACATTGAATGTTTTCAAAGACGAGTTTGATATAGTTCTTAGGGCTAAAGGGTATGGGGTGAAGCAGGAGCAGGATACTGAATTAAATGATCAACCATCAAAGACTGAATGGCCTAATTTTGTTCCTATTTTTGATGCTTCTATGTTTGGCTGGTATTTCCAGTGAAATCAGGAGTGAATTTACAAAGGATATGCTGTACAGCGGCTTCAGTTTGAAAGTTCAGGTCTATATGGATGAGGCCAAGTCTACCAACTTGCAATTTAAATATGGTTGTTGAAACTTCATAGATTATTAGTGAATGTAGCAAAGAACTTCTGTTTTGGAGTTAAGTGCAGGAATTGGCCAAGCAAAAGTTACACTCCACTCTAATATTAACCATGCTGTTTTACAGACTTCTTTATTTGTGGCACTGTCTGTCATCAGTGTGAAATGTGATGGACAGTGGTCTTTCAGCAGATTTTCCATGGTCTCCATTCTTCTGGTTCTGATGTGAGATCAATGACCTAAAGTATTGCGTTGGATTTGCACTTTGGAGTGGACAAGTCTGTGTGAAATACATATACAAAGTGTATTTGTTCAATTGGGAGATATCGCAGCCCCAACCTATTTGCTACAATGAGAATTGAAAGCTAACACCAGAGTGTGCACAACTGTGTGATGATTAAAGTTACCATGGCTCTCAATTTAAGTACCTCTAGTTGCTTTCAACAGCAGTCAGTTTGCTGTGAGCTGAGTGATCTCACAGGTCACTGATGCAATGTTTGTAGCAATAATTCATCACCTTCATCAGCCAGCAGGAAGGAACTACGCTGAGATTTGCCAACATTACTGAATTCCTACAGATGCAGGGTATTATAGGCTGAAAGTGCACAACCCTTCATAGTCCCCATCACAAATCATCTCTGCATCTCAACAGGAATGGATTTCATTTAGTCAATGCTCAATGTCTATGATCCTTAGTGTTGTTAATTGAATCCCAGGCCAGATGGTGAAGAATGCAACTGGACACCATCCCTTTCTTGGTGCTAGTGTTTTTTTACAGAATGCAGCATTACATGTATCTACCTATCACTCCAGTAACCCAGCCATCTTTATATACTTCTGAAAACTAATAAGTTCAATTCATCTAAATTAACAAGATGATTGTCCCTTAAAGTTGAAATCATACCTGCCTTTTCTACTGAAATTGAAATAATGCATAATAAAGGAACCAAATCAAACCAGTTTATCAGATGGCTGTCTCTATAACCAAGGTCAAATCACAAATTTTAAATTAAATTTTGGTTTGGGGAATGATTCTGCACTCCTGCCCCTGCAGTGTCCACTGGTCGTAGAACCATCTCTCTCTATCTATCTTGTTTTGATGAAATCAAAATCAATTAAATCAAATTAAACTAATGACCAGGAAACAGCACTTTGAAAGGACACTGCAAGGAAAGAAAACCCAAAAGGAAATCTACAAAAGTTAAATTAAAGTTTGGTTTTGGGATAGATGATGTACTCCAGTCCTTGTTGTGCCCACTGGTTGCAGAACCATCTCTCTTTAGAAGTGGCTCAGTAGTTAGCACTGCTGCCTCACGGAGCCAGGGACCTCGGTTTGATTCCAGCCTTGGACGACTGTCCATGTGGAATTTGCACATTCTCCCCGTGTCTCTGTTGGTTTCCTCTGGGTGCTCCTGATTCCTCGCACAGTCCTAAGATGTGCATTGGATTGGCCAAGCTAAGTTGCCCGGTATTGTCTAGGGATGTATAGGCTAGGTGGATTAGCCATAGGAAATACAGGGTTATAGGGAAGGGGGCTGGATTCTGGGTGGGATGCTCTTTGAAGGGTCAGTGTAGACTTGATGGGCTGAATAGCCTCTTTCTGCACTATAGTGATTCTAAATGACCTATGTATTTAATTAATCAATATCCTTAATTGATATATCTTAACAATGTAATTAACATGCAGTTAAAAGTGATGAGATATCCGGGGCTGCTCCTATCTGTAATTATAATGTTTTCTTAGTTTGACAGCACTCAACATTCCCCCTGTTTCAACTAGACCATAGTTGGGTGACAAGAGCTATCCCCTCAGCCACTGCCTTTTATCCCTGTCAGGAACACAAGCCAGTCCAGATAGCCAATGCAATAAAACCCATGAAGCAAAAATGGTTCTGGCTGAAAAAAAAAGCATTGATACTCAAAATTTACCAAACCAGATGATTTACTTCAGTAGCTCTTCATTTTACAAATGACTGCAGGATTGATCCCTTTCTACAAACTATCCTTACATAGTGACTGTCTTGTGTGCTCAGTTAGTTCATCTCGTGCTCTCAGGAGATTTGTTGCTGAGCTATTGTCTTACTTCTCTTTGTTTCTGCACACTAGGGGAGATCTCTCTAAGCTGTCTCTGAGATATGCTTAATGCCAATATCTAAGCAAGTACCTGGAAACTCAACATTGGGTGATCTTTCTGTTGGGCAGCGCTGCTGTCTTCTTCTACTCACTGAATACTATGCAGATCAAGACAGAGACAGAGAGGAAGGCAGAAAATGCTGGAGAAACGCAGCAGGTCTGACAACATCTGTAGAGAGAGAAACAGAGTTAATGTTTCATGCCCATTGACTCTTCTCTCCATGGGTGCTGCCTGGCCTGTTGACTTAGTCATAAATCTGTGTCTGCCTGATTTCCAGTTTCTGCAGTGTTTTGCCTTTAATTGAGGCAGAGACAGATCTGTTGTTCTTGAAGATAGCAGCAGGCTTTTTTTCATGCCAAATACATGATAGTTAAATCTAAGTGAAAGGAGGCAAGGAATATGGCTTTAGACCCTTTAGCACTTATTAACTAGCCCTGCCAGTTGCCATGCTCCTGATAGATCTCCTGCCACCAAGGTCCACAACTTGTTCTTAAACTGGCAACAGCACATGGATGAAGAGTAGCTCTCTTCCCATGGCTGTCCATTCCTGGCCAGGTGCGTGACCTTACCTTGCAAGAAAGCAGAAGGTGGTTCAGTATTTGTGTTGTGAGAAGTTACGAGGAAGTGCAACCTTCCTGCACTATCCCCATGTCCTTAAATTATCATAGTAACCAAAAATGTATCTATTGTGTGTGGCTCTGAAAGGATTAACACTGAAATGTGCCATAAGCACCATCCACTATGATGATATCATATGGAATTGTGGGCAGACCAGCTCAAGTTAGTGAGGAAGTCAGACCTAGCATTCAGATCCTCCTCATGTTTCTCTAACAATGCCTTTCTTATCAATTCAACCTGAAACTAGAAATGAGATCTTATTAACAGTGTTTCTGCTATGTTTTCTTCTTCTGCGCAGATATAAGCAAGAGTGACTTTCGAATAACAAGGTGTAGAGAGCTGGATGAACACAGCAGGCCAAGCAGCATCAGAGGAGCAGGAAAGCTGACGTTTCAGGTCTGGACCCTTCTTCAGTAAGTGACTTCCAGAACTGTAACTCAATGTTGTGAATGGCGATTCGCATGGACCCTTAGGACAGCTGGATGCCCAGCTTAAAGGGAACATTGCTTATTAATTACAAAACACTCTAGTTAGACCAGGAAGTCATTTTCTCTGCCACACTAAACCAAGAAGGCCCTGTGGTTTCTTTACACAAAGAGGATGATGGCAGAAATCTGTATCATAAGCAGCAATTCATACAGTATAGTGAGCCGGCAAGCTCATACAACACCATTTACCCTGATCTTGAATGTACACACTGAAAGTTCACCGTTCCCTGGGGTAGAGAATTCTAAAGATTCATAGCCTGTTGACTTTAAAAGAAATCACCTCAACTTCAGTCCTAAATGACTAGACCCTTTTTCCAAGGCTGTAGCCCTATGTTCTACATTACCCAGCTAAAGGAAAAATTTTCACCCCATGTACTGTGCTAAGCTATTTAAGGATTTTATATTTCAATTAGATCACTCCCACTGTTTTAAGCTCCAAAGAATATGGACCTACCCAACTCAATCTCTCCTTATGGGATAACCCTTCACCCCATGAAGCAAGCTTGTGAGATTTCACTGCACTTACTCTGGAATTAATGTGTCCTTCCTTAGGTACAGAGACCACAACTAGACAAAGTACTCCAAGTACGGCCTCACCAATGCCCTTATGCTCCAATCAAAAGCTAACACACCTTATTACTTCCTCATTGTGTGCTATACTTTCATGGTAACTTTCTGTAATTCATGTACAAGGACCACTTTGGTCCCTCTGATTACCTAGTCTCTCACTTTTTGAAAATGATTCTGTTTTACTTAATTTTTCTTGTATGTATGTCATCTGTCATGTTCTTAGTCCATCCTTGCAATCTATTTATATCACTTTGCAGAGTGATAATCATCAGTTAGAAGGTTTACTTTAGTTATGTTTGTGAGATCCTTATTACTGCATTATAACCAGGTTCTGGGGGCTGGATTATTGGTCTGGTACCGACTCATTCTGTCAACTGTCCCCTCTTGTGGTAGCTAGTTTGTCTTGATAACTTCTTGTCACCTATTGGATAGAAGATATACTTCCTCTGCTGACCACCACTGTCAATAACTCCACCATAGTGTCAAAAAAAAAGAAGGAATCAGCTTCTCCTGTACCTGCCATCGTGCACAGTCCTTAGATAAATTTGCCTTCAGCTAAAGGGAATATTCCCTTTAAGAAGTGGAGACTGCCTTCAAAT